TGCAGACGTGAAGGGGCGGCCGTGCGAGGACTTCTGCGTGCTGCAGCACTCTAACAGGCGAGTGGCCCTCCTGGGGGGCTTGAGGGGGGGTTTGTGGGGCCGCCTCCGCCCGCTCCCGACATCTTCAAGAGCAACATTTCAAAAGGCTTTTCCGTAAGCACGTTTAGCAGTAGTCTGTTTAGCTTGGTTTCTAGGAAGTTAATTGGCTTAATTTGAACAAACATTCAGCTTTTTCTGTACACAGCTTAATTGCTTCTAATTGTGCATCTGTGTACTACAGGCAGTGAGTGCAAGATAGGAAATGAAATGTCGTAACGTTGTTTCTACTTTGATGCAGCTGGATATCCAGTAGTTTGGAATAAACCAACCCTCCTCCTGGGTTGGACCCTAATTAATCATACCTTACCTTCCCCAGCTCCTGCCCCCCTGCTAAAGCCTGTTCTGGGTGCAGGGGGGCTTGGTGGCACCCCGAGCGGTTCTGGGGCGTTTAGTCCCTGAGGGAAGGACAGAACTTAACTACTCCCTGCACAAAAATTGGCAGTGCCAACTGCCCATGTGTTGAGGGAAGATGAGGCAGTGTTTGTTGTTCCCAGTGGGTTGCCTGCTCCTGTTAAGAATTTGGAGAAGCAGGAGGGGCGGCTTGGCGCAGGGCAGGACCATCGCCTCGCTGCAGCCTTCTGAGCTGGGGCTTCTCCATGGCTCTGTCACGCAGCTCACTTTCTCGTTCTTTAGAAACAGACACCTGAGTACCTGGGAATAACAGGTATGATGGCAGCAGCGAGAAAGGACACCCTCGCGTTTGCGCTAAATACTAAATATGTAGTTATTAGTCTCAGTTGTCTGATACAGCCAACAGTTTAAAGCCTGTTGATACGGGGGAAAGGAAATAAAAATATAAACACTTGTTCAAACATCTAGAAAGATTACTTTGCTATTTTGAATTCTGAAGTATCAGGGCCCTTGGCTTCTACAGCAGCTTAGCCAAATGCTCTATGAAGTATTTTACCATTATTATGTACAGGGCTGTGGCTCAGTGTGATATTCCTAAGCAGTGTAAAATTCTCTGTTGATTTTTTGTTTTGCCAGGACTCAGCTCTAATAGAGGACAGCTCGATTAGATGATTTGTCATCTTCCCCTTAGAAAGAGGCTGGGGTCAAGAGGAGGTTGCTTTTCTGGTCCCTTTGAGCTGCCGGGGCTTGCTGAAAGCATTGGCCAGGATCCAGCTCCCTCTTGCGGGGAGCTGCGCACGAAGAACTTGCAAAGAGGCCTGCAGGGAGGCGGATGCAGCATCCGCAGGGAAAGATCTGGTTCTCTGCTGTGGTTTGCTCTACAGTTACAGTTCTGGTCCTTGCTCTAGGTTTTAAACCCTTCTTAAACAGAATAGCTTCATCTCTGTTCATTTACTGGCAAGTTCTGGGCTCTCCGTGTTGGTGCATTAAGCATGGTTCTAGCCCAGGGATGAAGGTAGGCCCAGTCTCTACAGCTGGGCTTGTCTCAAACTCTCCAGTTTCATGACAAGAAACAATCCTCCTTTAGAAGAGATAAAACGCAAGCAACAGGTTAACTAAAGCCCAGATCACCAAAGGATTCATCTGCTGTAACTGTTCACCACCAATGGCCTTTAGCCGTTCTGCAAAACATTGCCTTGTGTTGCTTAAGTGAGTATCATCTACTTCAGCTACCAGCAAAGTGAACAGAGTATGCTCCCATGGGGTGCGACAGCTAGAACAGCTCTAGCTTATTTAAAAGCTGTGCTTGTGTTTAACTAAGTAGCATAGTGCTTTTGATAATCCAGTCTAGCATCTCAAAATAAAGCACCTTCTGTGGGGGTTGCTTTAGGTCAGAATGCAATTTTCATTCGGTTTGGTACAGCAGATGTCAAGTAAGATGCCCTGAAGAAAGTGAGTCTGATTTGATCCTGTATCTGGCATTTTTGTAAGTGGGAAACTAAAATTTGTCTCTGCTCTACAGCCAACAATTATCCTCTGTTCCCCTTCATTAGCTCAGGCAAATTGTGTTCTAGGTTACCCCCATGCTGTCACCCAGAGCTGTCTGTCCTTGCTTCCTCCCTGAGCCTGGCAGGTGCCCATCCCGTGACTCCCGCTGCAGTGAGCTGAACTATCAGCTTAACTTTCCTGCTAAACTATAGAGGGAAGAATATTGTGCTTTAAAGAGTGAAAGTAAACAATAGCTTCCACAACACTGAAAGCCCTGTTTGCATTTCAGGCTAGGAGCCCAAATGAAGTAGTCAGTACCAGTTTTAAATCCTACCCGCACAGGCAGAGAAGGTTGTGGAGCTTGCTTACAGCACGTGAGAGCATGGCTTCTCACAACTACAGCGTAATAATTACATTTCTTTTTGCAGAATCTGTGTCATCACCTTGGCAGAAGCCCATCCTCTTCTTCAAAGTGGAAAAACAATTAAAAGCATTAATTATCAAATCAGTGCCAACTGTAGCAGACTCCAGAATAAGGTCTCTGGGAAGTCAAAAAGGGTAGGGCTTTTTGATTCGGTTAGTTCTCGTTTTAATCTCTCACACTGCCTGAGACTTTCTGTCCTTTCTGGGATAGAAACCTACCAAGTTACCTTTGCGTTTTATTTTAAAAGTTGAAGAATTCAGACTTTCTCAAGAGGTGCCTGTCTAACTGTCCCAGCCAGGGTCTTCAAGTGCTCCTAACAGCACTGGTGGTTTCCAGCGTTGCTCAAACCAAGGCTAACAGTCGCTTTTAATTATTTTTTTTCATAGTGTACAGAGGCACTTCAACATCCCTGAAAAGATAAAAAATTCTTTCCACCAAAATGTCCAGGATTTGGAGACTACTGTTTTTATTAAACAAACCTAGATAGCAGATGGGCTAGTTCAGTGTGTTCCGTGGTGGGTTTTCAAATATGTGTAGTTTAACCTAGTTGTACTGAAATAAACAGTGCTGTTTTTCTCCTCTCTCCCCTCATTTTAGTCTGATCAAACTACAAGTCTTTTATTCTGCAAGAAACTTAATTATGAATAAATCTGTAAGCTCTTAACAAGCTTCTATTTGATTTGTGCACATAACTAAGTTGGCATCTTCTCTTCTGTAGGGAAGCACAGCTATGTAACTTGCAATGACCTGTAACTATCACACTTCCTTGCTTTGTTCTGAGAAGCTTACAAACTTATGCTGCTGATGGTAATACTTTAAAAAGCAGTGTGTAATTAAAAGTGTATATATATATATGTATGTTTGTTTTTCAAATGCAGGGAGCTCAGTTTTTAACAGAACTTGCCCCTCTGTGCAGGATATCTTCATCAGATGGAGAGGAATACACCATTTATAGGTAAGGTTTTTCCCTTTTTCTTCTTATCTTGACATACAACACACTTACTACTGAATCTAAACACTTTTGCAGTTGTATACGAGGGCGACTGATAGAAGTGAATGAAAACATTCTTAGCAATCCCGCTATTCTGCAAGAAAAGGTAAGACGCTTTCTTGCTTTTTGTTTTCTAACTTTTATTTCACTGCTAACTTCAGTCTTGCTTTTTAGCCATCAACCGAGGGATACATCGCAGTGGTTCTACCCAAATTTGAAGAAAGCAAGAGTATAACTCAAGGGCTTCTGACGCAGAAGGAGTACGAGGAAGTTTTGTTGAAACGTCTTAATTCTTCTTCATGAAATTAATTATACAGTTATCATCTGTATTGGATACTAAATAAGCTACTTCTGTTGTACACGGTAACTTTCATGGTATTGAAAGGCCAAGCGCCTGTTTTTAAAAGTGGAACTTGAACTTTGATTCATACAAGAATAAACGAGTTCAAATAGTTTGTATATTAAAGTTTGCTTTCTTTTTTTCTCTGAAACTACAAGTTTATAAATAAGCACAGTATAGTATGTTGGAGAGTATTTATGTTCCACAGGCAGCTTTGCTTCTGCTCAGTGCAAGCATAATAATGTACAGAAAAATCATACTATTTAGCTATCACGTAATTTAGCTAAACTAATGCAATATGGAGTTTGACAAAGGTGAATTGAAAATAAAAATGCAACAGAAGCCTATGTACAAAGAGCACATAAACTTGAAAATATGTATTTCACACCAGGTTGTGTTTTCATGGCATCCTGAAGTCAAATAATGCCCTTTGTACGGAAGTTTGTCATAATCAGTATCTATTTTCTTAAATTTTAAATGGTATAATGTAAAGTCTACATAATATTTCAGTGGTTCTAAATGCAACTCAAATTCTGCTCAGTAAGTTTTAATAAAAAAGGAAGCAACAACTGCCATCTACAAATAAAGATGGTAAAAGGAAAAAAGGGTTTGAGTCAAGAGTATTAATCACTTAGAAATACACTTTTGGAACTATGAATCATGTCAACAAGATTAAAATTCAGTGGTGCAGCTATTAAAAGAGGGTTTTTTCCCTAGAACTACTTAATTGCAAGTATAACTCATAACTAAGATAACATTTCAGTGCTTTAGGCCACAGCCTTTCAGACTATATTCCTGATTCTGCTTTAGCAAACACAGACTGAAAACAGGCCAGAGATGATTCTATGAGTTTACAGACTTCAACAGTAGTGTTACATATAGCATATGCAGCACAAGGTTCTTTATATAAAATGTCTATTAGCAGCATCTTTGGGTTGAAACATCCATTAAGACATTCATAAGCATTAATTACAAAACCGGTATCAACAGTGAGCATAGGAAAGGCATTCACATTATAAAAATACATAACAATTAGACTAGTTGGTATTCTAATTGCCAAGTAATGGGACATCTATTAGATGTGACAAAGGTCAACAGTTTTAATTCAAATTAACCTGGTTTGACTTTCCACAAATGAAAGCAATATTGAAAATTCAGCAAGTGTTATTTTCAAATGGGAGGCCTGCATTTCTAAGTGCTATAATTACTTGCTCTCTAAAAATGTCATGTTTGTTACATGATTTTCTAAAGACTTGATGCCAAATGTCTCAGCTCTCCTTTCTGGAGTATGTGCATTTGTACCAGTTCGTATTCTGTCTTCTCTCCACGGTGGAGCAGGTTTAAGACAGCCATTTCCTGCTTTATTCTGTGTATTAAGGAAAAAAAAAATTCTTTAACAAACAAACAAAAAAAACCCCAAACCCAACAAAAGAAACCACCAAAAACCTTTAAAATACTGCAGATTTGGTCTGCATGACTTGGATGCTCTGGCCCGTTTCAGTCCTGTAAAATTGAAACATCTTTTCCATAGCCCATTGGAAACATCCAGGTGCCCAGAACCAAGTACTCACCTTTCTCAGTAATTTGCAGCAAAGTGGAAGAAGTTGGCATAACAGAGTCATCACATTCCTTGTTTTCAGGATGCATGCATCAACCTAAACAAGGCAATTAAGAGTAGAGCAAGGCCACTCGTTACTTTTATTAGGCAACCGTTTAATGCATGAGATGATAATCTATTTCAAGCTTGAATAGGTAGTATTTGTCCTTCATAAATCCCTTCTAATCAAAACGTTTTGCGTTACCTTTTTTGAATTTCTCTACATAGTATGTATAAAGCAAGAGCATCCCTTCTGTTAACCCAAGACTTGAGCTAGGAAGCAGAAGGGAATGACACACATCCCAGGAGAAGAACTAATAATATAATATTAAACAGTAATACAAGTGTCTTGGGAAGGAGCTCTTACCATCTAAGTATGATTCATCACAATTCTTCATGTTTTTCCTTTTGTTTTATGTCCTGTCAGCATGATTTAGAAAGCCATGCATCATGTAAACCTTACCTTGATATGAGTTGCACTAAAAGTTAGCTAAATCTCGAAGCATTTGAGTTTATGCCTCAGGTCTAACACTCAGCACAGGTCACAAGTCTGGGCCCTCGACAAACATTAATTTGATAGCCTATTATCACTATGTAGTGATATAGCACTCTGTATAAACAGACTGGAGTTCCCATTTAGTTTAGCTAGAGTGTGTGAAACAAACCAAGCAACAGCCCTGAGGTGCTCAGTTTGGTTTTGAGTGACTTGGATGCTCTAGCCAGTTCCAGTCCCTGCTGTAAAATTGAAACATCTTTTCCACAGCTCATTGGAAACAAACATCCAGGTGCACAGAAATGGTCTTGCTCCCATTGAGCATAATGCTGCTCAGGGATACTTTTAAGTTCTTCAAAAGGCCTGACCTCTATTCCCTGCTAAGGTTTGCAGATCTACTTCTGGTGGTAACAGTGCTGCAACTTTTACAGCAGCTATATACATATTTACTTATAACAAATGTGAGTAATATCACAGTAAACTGGGCAGTCTAGGGTAGACTACCTACCTACTGAGAAGCAAGCATGTATTTCAGGAATAGAGTCTTTGGGGTTTGGAATTTGTTACATTTATGTTAAGCATCAATAACTACAGGGTAACAATAATTATTACAGTGGTGGAAATACAAATTACCTTCATTAATACTTTGATCACTAAAGTCCTTTCTTACTGAGGTACGCCTAATTACAGTTCGTATTTCTCTGAATGAAGTCCTAGTGGATTACAGCATTATTACTGTAATCTAGTGGATTACAGTATTATTATAATATACAGTATTACTCCATCTCCTATTATTCAGCTGAAAATTCTCAGTTGCAGCATGATAAAATTCCAGTACCTCTCTTTATCTAGTGGGTAAGTTGAGAGAAATGTAGACAGAAGTTCTTTGAAAAAAGTTCTCAGCAGTAAAAAGCAATATAAAGTAGTGGAAGTGGAACTATGGACACCTTTCCACTTTTTTTTTTTTTTTTTTTTTTTTTTTTTTTTAGGGCAGTCCCCAAACCTTATTGTCTTTTTTTTTTTTTTTTTTTTTTTTTCTTTTTAAGAGCAGTCCCAGAACATCATTGTCTTGGGAAACATTTCTGTAAACTCTTTCATTAAAAGTGAAATCCAAAACCCAAACGATAATTTTGGCACTTTAGTAACAGGAAGGAAAAAAAAAATCCTGTTACTTATTTTACTGATTCTTTAAAGTTGATAAACTAGGGGTAGGGAAGCTGTTCCTTAAAACATTAAGAACAATGATATGTCTGTGGCCACTGGGCCAGTTATACAAAACTTGGATATCCACCATTCATATAAGCCTGTAGAGCAGTACTATCCAAGCTATCCGCTGGCAGGCTTCCATGTATGCTGGGTGTCAGTGTACCATATTTTGCCTCCTATCAAACCCTCAGCACGAATGAGGGGGTCAGGTCAGGATGAACTTCACTGAAGCCCTTCTCTGGTAGTGGGGGGGGAAGAAAAAAAAAATCAAAAAATTTTTTAGAAAGTCTAGAAAACAGTAGCACCGATTGAAGAAAATCCCTTCCTGAGACAAAATAGTGTGGTAAATGGCTTGGATTACAGTTAGCAGTGAGGGGTGTCCCAATAGACAAAACATTTTCAGCAAGGGGAACAGTTCTTACTGTTCTTCCTCTATACCTTGCACATCAGCTTCTCAAGTTGTACTCAACAGTACTTCAAGTTGAAGTAAATTATTCTTCTACATAAAGAACAGCAACAATGACATATTGCATAGCAGAAAAATGCTTGCACAACAGCATAAGATTTTGTACTTATTAATTTTTATGGTCCTCTGTCAATCCAAGAAGTACAGTTGTCATGAACTGCTTCATATTTTAACAGGAGCATAAATTAGTAAGTTACTGTATTTCAAAACAAGTTAGGTCTTACTTTCAGGAATATATATAATTTTTACCTTACCTTTGTAAATGTAGCACTTTTACCCTGAACAGAAGCTTTAGCTGTTATCTGGAGCTGCTTGCACATAGAGATCAGTTTTTCAGCCTCCAACAGAAGCAAAGGTTTGTCATCATCGTGTATCTGAAATGTGTTTCAGGAAGACAAAAACACTCTGTGTTAAAGACTCCAATATTAAGTTAATGGAGAAGACAGCACAAGCAGCTTTTAAGCAGTATCACTGGTGTCATAAGCTGAATGGCTGTTTTAGGTCATACATCACCTGATCAGAAAAGGCATGAAGAGCTGAAGCAAGCTTTGTGCCCTCTGTAGCAAAAATCTGAAAGGGGGAGAAAGCATGTAACAAAATTAACCACAATGAAAAATGAGGCTCTTTTCCTTTTTGTTTTAATAAATAGTGTGCTATGAAGTAAAAAGGTAGCAGAAGTATTTGTGATAGTTGTATACATTTATAATTACCAAGTCAGCAGGTTGCAGTGACTTCTGAAATAACAAGCTACACCACAAATTGCCCTTCTCCCAGATAAGCAAATTTTAAAGGCTTTCCCTTTACATACAAAAAACCTGACTTCCAATTATTTTTTGCACTGTAGCGGCTCACAAGAGTTCTGCGGGTAGATGACACCTGCCATGTTTGTTTATTGCCCTGACAAAGGTAACCATGTCTCTTGGAAATACCACGCCACATTCCTTCATTTGGCCCCCTGTCTTTTGTTTGTATTACTCAAATTTTTACATCTTCTTTCTTTCCCATGAAAATACTGCTGCTCAGACTAGGATGAGTACCCGTTAACGCTATCAGAGACTGAGCTAAGTGACACAATGAATACTACTAATGCATTGAAGTCCACTATGTTTGCCATAACGCCAGTTTGCTATTCCTGCTTCTAACTGGAATCTGTCAGTTTAATGAACGCTGTCTTAAGCTACTACTGAAAACTGAAAAGTTAGCTTTCAGAAAGTACATACCAGAGTTAGGCTGCTTAAAAATCTAGTTGCCAGTCAATTCATGGTATGCTGTACTTATGTGTAAGGAATCAGAGTTAAGTTCCAATTTGTTCTTCACTCAAGAGTACCTAACTCCTATTTTGTTAAACATGTATTACCTCTGCTTGATGAAATAAATCTTGAGTAGTTTTCAGAAGTCCTTCTCCTCTGTGGGAAATAATGAAAGCAGAATATATGCCATGTACAGACTGCAGATTATCTTGCCTGCTACTTGCACAATTCATAGTCTCTCTCTCTCTCTCACCCCCATTCGCACCACTGAACTGTGAAATACCATTCTCTTAGAAGATACTATGCACAGCAATAACTTACTACAGGAACTGCATCTCAAAATATTATATAAACACCTCAGTGGCTAGAGCACTATTTGGAAATTAGCAATGGTTCAGTTCTCATCAGTTGAACAAGGACAGAGATCCATGTCTCTGGCATACTGAGTATTATTGGACTAGTAGGTAAGACAAAATCTCAACTCTTATAAAAAAAAAAACCCTAAATTCTTCAAATGAGAAAGCTGACATTGTATGGGGAAGTTTCAGAACACCACCTTCCAGTACAGCAAAGATCGGTAATTCTAATCTACCGTTATATACCTGTGCTTTAATTCCCTTAATTTTGAAAGTATTTATGAACATGTTTCTTAAAATGTTTTCCATACCCAAAAGATATATAAATAGCTGTTCTGCAACAAAATAGATGTCTAGCACTTTAAAAAAACCTCTGATTTTATTACTAGGCAACTTAGAAATTTACAAGCATTTATAAAGCATAAGGATAGAAATTAAGAAAGCTCCTTTCTGAATGTGTTCCAATTATTACACTCTGAAAATGAAATTATTTTATTTCTTATAAACACTGTTAATGCTCTTCTTCCCACCAAAACATGCTGCATACAGCGTAATTACCTGGTAAATAAATACATGGAGTAGGCCATACTTGACATGCCTTGCCCATGTTGCACGATCTCATTCTCCTGATCCTCCCATTTCTCTGTCTCAGAATCCAGATCAGATGTGAGCAGATGCAATTCTAATCCAAGTTTTGCAATTTTTGCCTGTTCCTGCAAATGGTAACCATATTTATGGCACTTGAAAATACATTCTTCAGACAACATAAAAAGAATTTAAAAGGTTTTTTTTTATTAAAATGATGGCACCTTACCTCAGTATCTAGTTTGACTGGCTTTAATGCTTTCAGATTTGCATTATGCTTCTGTTTCAAACAAAAAATAGCATTTTTAAATAAAAGGAATTCATAATCATTTTACTAACAAATCATAAGAGGTGGCTCTATACTCAGAGGCAGACTTTGCAGGAGAGTTCCAGTGGTTCAGACAAACTTCTCAGTAGAAGCTGAGAACCTGTTCTGATCTGGCTGTCCTCCTGAAATGGCATGTGCACACAGGGTCTGTGCCTACAGACACCCTAAAGCTTCAAGGAAAAGACCTCTTCCACAGTTCTCAGACTCTACTTCCTCATGCAGTACCATCTCTTCACCTTATCCTCTAAATCCTCAGTAATACTTAGGACTAAATAAACAATCTTAATCAAGTACTACTGCACCGATTTTTCCATCAAAGATGATACTGATATAACAGGGACTTGGAAGTTGATTTAGCTAGTAGCAAGCTGATCTAGGGTACAAACCACGTAAATGCTAGTGTGATGATGTATCTCATTATTCTGCGGCACTTTGGTGAAGTAGCTGGAAACAAAGACACTGACACTTTCATCTTTTTATGGATTTCCTTCTTTTATTTAAGTCATGAACTATCTGAAATACCAGTCTGGCTGCAAGCCAAATATTGGCTCAGATTAAACAATAATTAGTGGTACTGATGTGAGTGGACTATCTGATAAAGCAGAACTTGCCAGCTGCATAACACATATACACAGTAATATATGATTTGTTTCAAATCAATTTGCATGCAGAGAGCAGCAGTCCCTGGCTTTAACTTCATGTGCTGGTGCTGTCACTGTGCAAAGACAGCAAAAACTAACAGACAAGGGAGCCACAGGCCACATTCAGAAACTGCACTGGAGTGCAGAGGAATGGGAAGTGCAAAGTTGGTGTCATAACTTGGAGAGGTGTAAGACACTGGAGGAGGCTGGATGGTAAGAATGCAGGACTGAGACCCTTGTCTGAGAGTATGAAAAGAGCTGCTATTCAATAGTGGGAGTGCTTGGGCAAAATAAGCTCAGTAATGCCTGCAGGGGGAAAAAAAAACCCCACTATTAATTGTGAACAGCATCAGAAATAAGGTCCAGGTATGGTCTCCATCTCTCACTTCAAGAGTTTGAGCAAAAATGAAGTACTATTATTGAAGCTCCTACTGCAATTTGCTGCTCAGTTTAGCTTTCATGCCATTTCTTTTTTACCATCCCAAAATTTTTAAATGTTCTGAATCTTATGAATGTCTACCCAGATTAGACACTGCAATTCTGCCTATGTATTAGAAATGCTGATCTCATACCAAAAGATTTAGCAAAAAGTGTAAGAACTAATACTCCTAATTGTCATTTCAGTTTGACCATATTGCACATTAGAGATGCAATTCAAGAAATGCTGGTTTTAAGGCAGAGTCTTAAAAGAAGAAAGGAACACAAAGCCAAACTAGATTTGTATGTAAACACAAACTTTGGGCTACAAGGTATGGTAAATATTTAAGCTGCTGAGTGAAGGGTATTCAAGAAAACCAGCACTCTAGCACAGGTAAGTTCTTCTACCTACAAATAACTAAAGAAACCTCAGAATGTTTGTCAGATTTGTAGTTTTCTCCATTCTAGTGTTCACTCACGCTATTTGAATAGGAGAACTGGTAAAAATCAGATAAGCAGTTATTCTGCTTTTAAAACATGATTTGACACCTAATACTATAAATATACCTGTGAATTAAGGACACAGATGAATCATCACTACTGCTCTGTCCTCAACTATGGCATGGTCTAGGATGCCACTCATTACCAGCAAACAGCGCAGTTGCAATTAAACAGATGTAACAAAATACGTAATCTAAATAGATCAACAGGAACGGTATGGCTTCTGTGCAGGGACAGTGTGGGCATTAGCCGGGCACAGCAAGCCTCTGTGATGGCAGTAGGGAGAAAAGATGCAGTACCGAGAGTCACAGCACTGGGAAGAAAGGCAGTTCCAAACGTTAATGCATCAGCTAGGCAAAGAAATTACTCTGTGAAGAAACTCTGTTGCCTTAGGGATGTAATCTACTTTTCCTGTCTACTTCCAAACTGTACATTAATCAGAACTCCCCCAAATCTATGCATCTTGCAAAATGCAAAAGGAGGCAGCAACCTTTCAAACAACAACAAAGCAGAACTGTTTAAATCCTGGGAACAAAGTTTTTATTGAAAGTACTTTTAAAAGACATATGAATCAATAAGTGAGGCTCTGACTTCAGACATCTCTTCTTCAAATTTTGGCTGAAGTCCAGAAGCTATGTAGCTTTGTCAAACTGATGAGGGACAAAAACCCTATCAAAAGTCACTGAACCAATCTATTTTCCAGCCTCAATATTTAGTTCCGTAACCGCGAAATTCACCCATGCTCACCCAGCCTAACATTATATTCCATTTAAATCTGCAGACTGGATTTATAATGTATGATCTTTTCTCTTTTCATTAAGGGTCCAAAGTAGCATATTGTGTTTGAAGTCGCAGAATTGTGCAACAGGAGACATGGAGACAGGGGATCATTTCATGCCCAAATTCCTCAACACTACAGGTTAAGGAAAGAAAGCAAGGAGAGAAAGAAACAGGCTAGAGCTTACTGTACCTTCTGAGATCATTCTTTCCCTTTTTCCTACCCATGAAACGATTCAGTATGTAGCAAGTGAATCAAATGACTGATTACACGATACTAACAAGGTTTAGGAGGTTTCCTAACACACAGATGCTCTCAGAAGCAATGTAATATCAATTACAATTAGCTAAAGATATTAATTACCTCACAACTAAACCTGGACATTTGGTGTAGCTTTTTTCTCTGCATTGAAAACATTTAAGATCAAAGAAGGAAACAAGAACCCATTATTTGAAGAGCCTGCAACAGGCTCGAACATGTCCATTTGTTCCAAATAGGTCAACTCAGGCAACAATGTTAAAAAAAAAATCAGATTGCCAAGACTTATTTTCAGTATGTTGCAGCACATGCTTACTGTTTTAACAGTAACAATGCATTTTTTATTATATAGTGTGACAGTCCAGTACGTGGTAAAAAATGTCGTATTAATGAACAGGAATTAAAGCTTATGTACAATCAAAGTGATTTAAGCATATTATGTAACTAGTTACCCTAGTTTTCAGTATGTTTGTTATTCATTTAATAAATTAACAAAGTTTGACATTTTACTGTCAGCCATCCAGTCAGGATGCATGTTACCAAGATATTGCTATGTCCTCGTCAAGGCATGACATGGAAAGAAGTCAATTAGTTAACAGCAGATATAAAGTAAATACAACAATTCCAAAAGCAACTTACCCCTGGTCTGGGCAGTGATAGGTAGACACGCTTCTCTCCTATGAAGAACACACACATTTACACCAAAATTTGTATGCAGATTTTAAGCAATGGGATCACATGCCTTAACTTCATCCTTCCTTAAGTTGCAGCACTATAAAAGCAAATCACTTACCTGCAATTCCTCCTCTTTGAATATTGCAGAGGATTCCCTCTCTGTCTCACGCTTCCAGAGAGATGTAAGCCAAGAACTCTGTACTGTTCAGATTTTAGCTCTCAGCAACTGGCAGTTAAGAAAGCTCCTCTGAACACTTTCCCTCAATAAGATTTCTAATCCCCTGCATGCAATCCACAAGCGAGTAAAGAAACTCCCTCCAGTGCTGAGTAGTTATCGCTACATGCACTCATTTTGTTGCAAATTACAGAACACACAATGGTAGTTCCACATAAGGCTTTTCTTGGCATGGGTTGGATGGTCTAAAATTTGGAGTAGGCAATGCCACTAGTGAGAAATACCTAGGCAGGTTTTTCTAAGTAATGCCTATATAACCCTAATGTTGTAGTGTACTATATGTATCCCATGTGCACTGTATTTTATAAAGAAAAAAGTTCCAGAGCATTTCACACGCTTATTGAATTATTTCTTATATCCCCAGGAGCCTCAGATATTCCAAGTCTGAGCAAAACAAATGGAGAAAAAAAAATCCTTTTAGGTGTTACCTAAAAGTGGGTAAGAAGAGTTTATCAGCAAGAGGAACCAGTGCCTGGGCTAACAGCCTAGGATTAGAGCTCCAGTTACCAGAAGACTTAATTATCTATGAAGACTTCCATTTATTACCATAGATTCAGGAGAGGAAAGTCTGCTAAATAAAACCAAAATAAAATAAATAAAAAACTTAAGAGCTAGTGAAAAACAGATTTTACTTGAAGAAACAAAGGGCTACTATAATGGATATCAGTACCAGGTTTGCATAGAGATGATGCATCTCGACAGACAAAGGACAAGCAACAACCCCCCTACAATTGCTATTTCCTCCTCTTGTATCAGCTCCCAGAGAAATTCCATTCTGAGTCCTCAGAAGTTCTCTTGTGCATTCATGATTTTTTGAAAGTATGCTCTTTATCTCCTGACACCACAGGAAGACCATGAGCTCCATGTCTAGGCAACTGACTCCTAAAAACAAATTTCAGTAAGTTGACAAGTGCCCCTCAACCCTCTTGATAAGTATGAAAAATGTAATTCTTCCTTTCTAAGATCACCTCTTCCTTCCCCTACCCAGTTTTGTGAAAGACAAAATGAGCTATCAGGGCACAAGCTGCCTAACTACTTTTTTCAGAATGCACAGTTATCCAGCTATTAATTGCCCAAACATGCATCGAAGCAAGATTTCTCACTAAAGACTGACACAAATTATGAGAAGTGATTTACAACATCCTATGTATCAAAAAATCAGCTAAAGGGCATGTAAGAAAGCATGCAAGATGTACCAAGAACAAAAGCTGACTTGTAGTTTAAAATGCTGTAGCATAAAAGATCTCCTTGGTGCTACATAAAAACCTGTTGTACCGTGTTAAAAAAAAAAAAGTTCAAACACAGAAAGCTTTGACATAACAAATGGAATACAAATGCATACCAAGAGAACATACTACTCGCACACACAAGGCGGGCATTCAGAATTACTGAAACCAAATGGAAAGAGGTGGTTAACAGAAATAAGAAAACAAAAAAATTGGTTTTGCTCTTCAAGTTATTCCCATTATTTGGCTTTGCAAGGTTTAGTTGCTCACCAGATTCAGAAAGAGGAAGTATTTCCCTATTTATTTCTTGGAACATTTAAAAAAACCCCAAAGCCCAAACACACACACAAAAACCCCACCTCACTAGACCCACAGAACCAGACCTTTCAAAAGTGCAGATCAACTCAGGCCAGAGATAATCCTACTTCATCAGAATATACTTAATTACGTCAGTATACTCACAGAATTTATATTTGATTCCATTAACAGAATACACATATACATTTTTTCAGGTATTTAATCTCCTTAGTTTGTAAGTCAGATCTTTGCTATAATAGCAAAAGGCCTTTCACAGTATTATGATCTTCCTTTTATTATTCAAGTCTGCCTTTCTTTTTCCTAATGTGTTTTCTCTAACATGTTTTTCCTTTTTTATTTTTTTATCCTCTTTATCTTCCAATTTTCTGCCTTCCAGTAGTTCCAGTCATGTTTTTCTCTTGGAAATGTCTCTATTTCAACTTCTAAATCCTGCTTTTGATCTCACTTCTTACCTGAGAGCAGGATGGCTGCATCCCTGCTGCACCCTTCTTTCTAGAACTCTAATTTCTGAATTCTGATCTGTATCCCCTAGTCATCAACTACGGCCCTCCCAAATCCTCATGGTCATTTTAACTCCTCTCAAATCAAGTAGGCAAAACAAAAGAGGAGGGCAGAAAAAGAAGTTACCTTTCATAAATCATTCTCTCACTTCTGACCAAGTTACAGGGGAGCAATCAAGGGATTATTCACGTTCTTCTCCAGCATGTTGGAACCAAAAAGTTAGGGGGAGAAAAAAAAAAAAAGAGAATGGCTGACATCCAACAGATTGGATCAATGAGAGGTACTTTCATTAGGTGATTCATCTCAAAGTGCAAGAGCCTCCAAGTTAAGTATCTAACCTAAACTAGTAATTCTGAGAACAAACTGATCCTTCCACGGGCTGAACCAAATCTCCCAGCTGACAGGAGCCACCCTCCAGAGGAGCCTGGCACTCTCCTCAGCCCAGACCAGCCACGCAACATTTGAAACACCAACATTGTGCAGAAAGGGCCTCCTCACCGTTGGATTAAGAAGTGGTTTAGGATTAAGCAAAAGAAGGCCAAGTCCACCTCTCTACAGTTCTGCATAGTACAGAGACATTTTCAAAAGACACGTGAGGGTTACTGGGCTGGTATGCTCACCAACCTTCCCCACGCTTACGCACACGTGCACCCCCCTCCCCCAGACAAGCCCATTTCAATTTGGGCACGATCTGGTGCGATTACATTAAAACTGAGTAAAACATTGCTTCATTTCCAAGCTAGATCTGTCTATGCGAGTTTTGCACCTCAGTATGTGAAACACCTAATTTCTTGATATGAAAGAAACACTGGATATGGAGTTATGCAAGTGCTCATAAAAATAAAGAAATTAATATAAACAATATGAATCTAGTGTAATCAGAAAAATGCTTCTTTTATTTCATGTGTCCAGCACATTTCGTCACCATTCAATTTTTGCCTCTTAAGCTGTATTCCGAACTCTCTAACAAAGCCAAACATTTAAATTGGTAGTACAAAAATACAAGTTTTTAAACTGAGGAGAAAAAAAAAATATATATGCCTTCTTACTGTAATTCTATCTTTCGTTACACACAATTCTACTAGGAATAAAGCACTTGTTACATTTTAGTCTGTAAAACGAAGACACTTTTACCAACCTCAACATTAAGACAAGTATTATGAGTTACAAGAAGAATAAAATCTTACAAAATATTGTGAACTCCATTGTGTTTGGAGGCAAAAGTTTTGTGAATGCCACTCATAATCTCTTAGCAAACAAATATTTTAGTTTAATTTATGGGTCATCAGTCATGTTTTCTAGAAGAAAAAAATGTTGAAAGTGCCAAGGTAACTTTAGGGTGTTTTCTGGAAACAAAAAGGTGTGGGTATCTGGGCAAGATTTTTTTCCCCTTTCTGTTTTTTTTGACAAGAGTCACTCTAAGTCCAACAAGAGAAAACAAGCAAACAAAAAAAGATTAGCCCACAATACAGGGGAAAACTTTGCAGAAGACGGTTGGATATAGGAGACCAAATTATTTCTAAAGGAGATAACTGACAGTTGATATGAAAGAATCCAGATTCAGAAAGAAGTCCCTTGCTAGGCCAGGCCACAAGACAAAGAAAACAGAGACATGATTTCTTAAGCATCGTTTTGGCAATACAAGACCTAGTGCACCCAAGGCCATATAAAGAATACAAGCTACGCTTACTATTTTACCAATGGTGGTATCGGAACACCTTATGCTGAAAGAAAGGTTGAGGAAACGAGACAACAGGATTAACAAGAACAGACTCATCTGGCTATGCCAAACAGGAGAAGATAAGTCTTCACTGCACCCAGGCCCACACACGCTATAGCCTCCAACATGCTCAGCAACACCTACCTATTCTCTTCTCCCTCCTTTGAGCAATGACATTGGGTTGCTGTGTGAAATAATGCTTAAAGAAACTGGAAAGTACCACTTGTGGAAAATGTCTGTTACCTGCTGTCAACAGCCACAAGAGAAGAGAAAGTTGCTAACTACAGGAGAGGCTACAAATCTGCCACAACACTTCAAGAACTATTTGTTTGGAGAGCCAAGTATATGCTTTGCTGTGGCTGCATGATTCTTATCCTATTATTTTTAAATACAGTAATATATACACACATACATATACGTATAATCACACACATATATACGTATTTTTAAAAGTTATCATTCAAGCCTGCTAGACCATCGTATGAATATGAAAAAAAATCAGATACTGCATGATCAGCCCTGCAAAGTCCAAATTTATTGTAACACATTAGAGTAATACCATATTTTAAGTTGCATTATATAAAATTTAATGCTATGTTTAAAGAAAGTCAGTATGTCCTTGGCTCTCAAAACAAACAAAAAGCCCACTGAAAGTTAAAAGGATCCCATAAACAGGATCTCCGATTGCTACACATCTTTATACAGCATTCCAGACCAAGGTGGAAGAACAAGTAGGGTAACAATCATGTATTTCTCAAATGCCTCAAATTCCCGACAACCTGCGCTACACACAATTTTTGTAAACCCACTCAGAATTTCAATATATGTTCTCTTTTTACAAGTCTTCAGGCTCAGACACACATTCATCTAGCAACCAGCAGCAACAATTTAATATATTACTGCCCTGTGGTTGGTTGTTTACTGTCCTCACAACAAAGCTGGCAGAAAAGAACAGCTTACACAAAAACCTGACAAGTACAGAAAGTTAAATTGACAAAATAAACTCTAAAAATGAAAAAAGGTCTCATGTTAATAGCAAGATGAAGTAGTGTATCATTGATAAAAGTATCATCTAACCTGAATAAGGATTTACTTTTTCTGTATCTTAGATACAAAAAAAATGAAGTCCCTGTATTTAACTAAATCTAAACTTTTAAACCTGAGTGCTTTTCTTAAAAATACAAGACATTCATTATTATTATATATTACATTCTATCTGTATGCAGTTATACCTTAAAGACTGAAACAAACACGTAGCCGCAAGAAGTATGGCAAGCTACACTAAAGACATCATCTGAAAAAAAATTAAGTTAGATAAAAATGAAAACCAAAATGGCTTCCATTTTTAAGGTAAATTACCCTATGCTAAAAGTAAACACAGAATTTTTTTCTTAAGATTCCAAGGTTTTCTTCTACATGTTGTACAAATACCAATAAACTTACCAACCAGAGAAAATATCCCAAGATTTTGCAGAGTCGTCAGAGATTCCATCCAGAAGAAAGGACAGCAGTTTAAAAATCAAATAACTACATTCACTACATTATGAAGTGAATACAAGGCAAGCTGACAGTATAGAATATGTATGTGTATATATATGTATTCCAGAAAAACAGGTAATTAGTTAAACATGTCACACAATTCTAGTTATATCTTGATTGTCACGAACTGGTATGTCCTAGACAAACCAAAAGGTGGGATGAAAGCCCTACACTCCTAATATCTGGACACCACTGGCAAAGAGCTATGTCAAATACTTTTGTGTCCTTTGAACAGTTCCATTTGATCTTGCTGGAACTAATCACAGTGCAGAAAGTTAAACACCTAATTTTACACAAATCAGGCCTTTAAATTTTTGGCTGCTTCTCTTCGAAAAAAAAAAAATCCAATAAGCACCCTAATTCAACATCTATACAAAACCAATATATTTGTGTATTGCCACCTAGATTCCACATTGCCATATGGGATGTGGGACTGTTTATTGCGCTCTTCTCTTAAGAAAATGGTATTTCCTAAATCACACTTAAAATTCTTAGACTACATGTTTTGAACACTATGTTTTTCTACATAGCATATATTTATTTTAATAAGCATAGCATATTTCTACATAGCATTCTTACCTCTTCTTCCTTCAAACACATCATTGATTTCTCTTAACAACATGGACATGTCACTCAGTTGAGACTCCCAGGCCTCACAGAACACCTCAAGATTTTCTTTTGCAATCTTGCTAGATGGATGTAATGCCAGTGTTTCTGCAGCAGAAATTATCTGGACAGAGAACAAAGTATTTGCTATTGGAAGTCCTAGTACATAGTGTTGCACATGATTTCACAAATGCCTTCACAGGCAAAACACAAAATTAAACTGCTATTATTATGTCTTTGTAGTGTATTCATTTGACATTTGCAGGCTTGATGATCTTCCTTGTACATTCTTTTAGCTACTGCCCAAATGATAATGATAATAATAACAATGTAATAATAATAATAGTAATAATAATATACAAAGCAAGTGATGCACAATGCAATTGCTCACCACCTGCTGACCGATACCCAGACAGTTCCCAAGCAGCAATCACCGCCCCCTGGCCAACCCCCCCCAGTTTCTATACTGAGCATGACGTCATATGGTATGGAATAGCCCTCTGGGCAGTTTGGATCAACTATTCTGGCTGTGCCCCCTCCCAGTTTCTTGTGCACCTGGCAGAGCATGGGAAGCTGCAAAGTCCTTGACTAGCATAAGCAGAACTCAGCAACAACTAAACCGTCAGTGTGTTATCAGCATTATTCTCATACTAAATCCAAAACACAGCACTACACCAGCTACTAGGAAGAAAATTAACTCTATCCCAGCCGAAACCAGGACAATTAGGTCTCCAAAAAATTAATACAAGTAATTTTTATTTATTTATGTCCACTAGAAGTGGCCAGATAAAAGCTAAGCATACCTGTGGGCCAGTGACCTGAAAGGTATCTTCTGCATGTATGCAAGTAATCTCGAGGGGCTCGGTTCCAGAAACATGCCTCAATAAGCGACACATCTAAATATTTTTTATGAATTTAAAGAGAAAATAAGAAATAAGCTTTCATTAGTAGTGAGAAAAGGTGCACATGCACGAACACACACACACACACACAAAGTTATTGACAGTCCTTTGAGAAACATTGGGGATCGCACAGCTGGGTGCTTCTCAGTGAGCATTTACAACAAAAACAGGGCTACATCCTGACTTGGAATGTGTAGAAAAATCACCAAGAGAAAGAAAAGTCTTAATAAATAAATAAAAATAAAACAACAAGAATTTCACACATTTATGACTGAATAAACCTGAAAGTAACCAGACACCTATGGAACTTGGAAAAATTGTAGCATACATGATTTCACCAAAACAGGCTTACTCGGCAATTAGCAACTGTGTGTAAATTTAGGCTTCCATCATCCAGGGAAGTGAATTATCTTTGAGCAAATCAGCATCGAATTTAGGGAAGAAATACTGTTTTCTTTCACAATAAGCAAAATGTAGTCATCCCCCTTTTTTTTTTTTCCTTTTAAATAAGATTAAGAGTGAACTTTGGGCTGAGAAGGAACATCAATGTTTTCAGATCAAAAGGAGAATTTATAAGACAGAGACAGCACATATGGAACTAACTGCACTGTCCATCATCAGAAATGCTATAAGGCCTCACATACAAACACTATTTAACCTCATGGTTATGCCTGGGGGGGGTGGGAATTAGTGTCTCACTGGAACACTAATTAGTCACAGAAAAATGGGACATTAAAGCCAAAATTAAAAATCCACAGCATTGATTTGCCAGTCCCAGAAGTTCAAGGGTGTTGTTTCTGTGTATTCAGACTTCTGGGATGAATCCTCAAGCCCCATATGATATCAGAATTTTTTTTAAATGAATGACTATTAGATGCCATGCAAGTACAGCTGCTGGCATCACCATGTTCCAGATCAAAGTGATGGATCTTTGTACGTCTCCTACTGGTACAGTTACTTCTGCTCATCTGTCAGATGAGAAAGCAACAAGGTATACGTGGCAGACATCCTCTCCACAGGCACTCCTAAGAGCCATGACCTCTCAGTAGTCTTGGAAGTCCTATTTGTTCACATGTGCGAATACTTCCATACGAAACCATGAATGTATTAGTACATGAAACATACATGCTGCTTTTCACAAAGGAGAGAAGATTTTCAGTGGCCCTCTTGACTGACAAAACCAACACAAGATCTTCAAAACAGTCAAGTTCACTGCATTAAGAAACTTAACCTTACATTCCCAGCATTCTTAAAATGCATCTTTGAATTCAGCTGTTGCTGGATGCCTACTGCTTGAAAGAAAAAGGCTATCATCTCTACTTGGATCTAGAAACCTATTTTTTAATGACTATTTTAGCCCCAATATATACATACAGATTGAGTCTAGATCCACAAGGAGAATAAGGTATGACTGTACATCCCTTCTACAACAGCTGTATGCCACAGTGACACCTGTGGCTCAGACCATACCAAGAACAATACAAAATTCAACAGTATACTAGGAAAATAAAATAAAATAAAAATTACAAAAACACAGACCAAAGTCTTCCTAAAGAACAGATTAAGAGAAATCCTGCCACTCATTTTCTAAGTGCTTCACAAAATGAAAGGAGCTGTGAACTCACCTCAACAAGTTGCTCCTTCTGCTCTGATAGCTTGCAAGTATATTCTGCTACAGCTTCAAGATTTCCTTCTACTCCTGTGATTTTTAAGGCTTTGAGAACCATATGATCCGTATGGTATTTTAGCAGATCTGCTGCCAAAGATGTTGCTGCACTGTGGACCTTGAGTAGCATTAAAACAAGAAGGAAAGATAAACCTTGGAAGGAAAAAAAATCATCCAGTACCAAGACAAATAAACTTAAGAGACAGACTGATTTTTCCAAGAAGCAAAAAATTTACTGCCATGAAAGCTCATATAGGGCCTGCATATTATCTGGGGCTTTGATTCCTCAATTAGCATTCAAAGTACAAAGATAAAATCCAGCACTCAAAAAAAAAAACAAAAAACACCAAACCCCACCACCCTACAACAAAATATGGAGAGAAACAAAAGAGCAGCTGGGTAAAATGAGGACTTGAAGTTATCACACTGCTGCTTTCCGATAATGTTACAGCTGTGAAAAAAAACAGGTGCATGAATTTGTGGGGCACCAAGTTCAGCATCAGAATGACACAATGGCCACTCTACTTCTCATGAAGAACACGCGTCAAACTGTATGAATCAGACTGAAGCCACACAGCATGTGAGTTTATAATATATTAGAAATTAAGTTCCTATGAATAACTTGAATTCTCAGTGATGCAAAGAAAAGCTTGAATATAATTAGCTTGTGGCACAGCCTTAGAAAAGTAAAAAGCATCTTTTCTGCAAGGAGACTGAAGCCAGAGATGGGTCTTGGAAAAGTTTCAAACACACCCTACACTCACAAAAAGCAAGGAGAAGCCTCTCCTTGAAACACATCCCTAAATCCAGACACACTTTCATACCCATGGATCTGCTGAAATTGTGCTGCGAAGGACTCTTTGACAACTTTCAGCAACAGCTGCTGCTAGTTCTAGTGACTAGTCATAGCAGGTTTACCTATGTCCTGTAATCACCCCCATTTAAAAAACACAGGCAAAACCAAAATAGCAAGCTCTTTAGAAATAGCAGAGCATTCTTATGCTCACAAGACTATTATGTCTTGTAATATTATACTTACTTTGCTGGACTGCACTGAATATACAAAAAACCTGGCTGTTCAAGAAGAAAGTTATCTTTCAAGTTCTTATGAATGCAATGAGCTTCCAATTGTGACACTGGTGGGCCTTGACTCTGTAGAGAAGAGGATGTTTACTAGAAGAGTATGTTGGGTTTTTTATTCCACTGGACTCTACCTATTTTTATCCCCTGCCCCTGGCAGTACTTCCTGTGCAGTCCAGAATTAAGGGCTTTTTGTTTGGTAGGTTGGTTTTTTTTTTATTTCATGCAAGAAACTGGAATTGTTGCCTCAAAACCTGCTGTAACTGTTTAGAGGGAAAAAAAAAAAAGCTATGACAACCTGTTATAAACTATATATAGCGTTGCTCGCATGCCATTAAAAATTAGCACAAGCCACTAATCTCAGAAATTGTCAGCTCTTAAGAAAGGCTATTTGCAAGCCTTGTAATGTTAAGTAGGAACTGGCAATTCTCATTTATATATAGGCTACATAGAGATTGCCTTTTCAATAGAAATTCTTTTCATCCTGATCTAAAAAAGACATTTAGAATCACAGAATCATAGAATCGTTTAGGTTGGAAAAGACCTTTAAGATCATCCAGTCCAACCATTAACCTAACATTACCAAGTCCACCACTAAACCAATCAAGGGTAGAGTAGCAATTTAATGTTTCCTGGCTTGGTGGCTGGATTGTTTTTTAATGAAAGTAAAAACTAGGAATCATTAAGGTTGGAAAGGATCTCTAAGATCATCAGTCCAACCATCAACCCAACACCACCATGCCCACTAAACCATGTCCCAGAGTGCCACGTCTACCCGTTTTTTGAACACTTCCAGGGATGGTGACTCCACCACCTCTCTGGGCAGCCTGTTCCAATGCTTGAATACCCTTTCCGTGAAGAAATTTTTCCCAATATCCAATCTAAATCTCCCCTGGTGCAGCTTGAGCCCATTTCCTCTCGTCCTATCGCTAACTACTTGGGAGAAGAAAAAAAAAAATAAAGTGCCCTCAGTAGTGTCTCCTTTTCCAAGAGGAAAAACTTCTGAGATTTCAGGAAACCTTGTACAGAGCAGCTGAACTCCATTCCTCACTGCTTCCCCACACTATTTTCTCTTCCTCAGGAGGCACCTTCACAGCAACAGCTTTCATCCAGGCAGTATTCCGCAGCTAACATCATCGCTCTATAAAAAGAGCTCTTTTACTCCAAGCTCAGAACTACTACAGCTCATTCTTATAGAGCAGTATATTCCCAAACCCTTACTTCTACTTAATGTTGTCTCTGATCATTAGCAGGAAAATCATCTCAAGGAAGGAACATACCTTTCATTTCTTCCATGAAGTGACAGAGATTGGAAAGAACTACTTTTAACAAGGCTGTCCTATGTTCTCAGACACCAAGGCTCTCAAAAACATTTTAATTAGAGTCACAATACTTAAATTTCACCAGTAGAGAACCTGGTTGCTGACTGATATACTGCAGCACCCGAAGTCAGATTGACAGGACAGTCCTCCTCAGCCATGTACAAAAGCATGGCTACTCTGGGATCAATCCAATCACTACACAGAGAACAACGAAAATGACATAATACTCTAAATTTACTTCTACGAGTAGCATGAATCCTGTGCATTTTAAAAAACCTTTTACTAAGCAAGCTTTCATACTCTACAGGTCACCAAAGCAATTCATACAGAACTTAGGATTTGTTAGTTTAGAAATCCACACACGCTCAATTTGGTCCACAATTTCTAAAACAGCGTGCTACGTTTTCACCTACATTGCTTTTAATATGGAGCTACATCCCAGGGCACAGGCAACCCACTATTTTGTATTTTATGCCACCTCTGTTAGCTGGTTTACAGAAGGTAATTTTCTATTATTGTCACCTGACAAAATTCTTTAAGTGTCATAAATGTGTAGTCTTTCATTGCATGACATTTTCATAAATAGAAAGCTGTGGGCAGGACAATACGGTAAGATGTTACCTTTATGGAGCTGCAAGAAAATACAAGGTATTAATGATTACTTCCACATACTATATTCCAGCCACCTTTGGCTTTATGATCTATGCAATTGCATAGTCACATATTATTTTGACTTGGAACCCTTCCTCCTCATTCAGCACATGGGAGCGATGTTACTCAAAAAGGATGATCTTACAGGTAAAGCAGCTGAATGTCACTCCAGAAAAGCTCTGCTACTGACTTCTTACATAATGGTGACCAAAGAAAAAAAAAAAACAACAAAGTGTACAGATTAAGTATCCTCCACCTTCTGGGAGTCCAACACACTGCTTGACAGCAGAAGCGCAAAGCACTTAACTACAACTGAAACAGATTCAAAGCACTGTTCAAATCTTCAGGACAGCTGCAGGAATTATAATCCAGAAGATGAAATTTCTTATTTTGCCTCTAGTAGAAAATATGCAGCATGATTTTTTGAGCAGTCAAGGTTTTCCAGTTACAGCAGCTGAGAGCTCAGTCTCAGTAAGTTCACCATACTTCTCTAACATCTTTGCGCTGCTCTGTAGCCTAGTACTGAAACCCTCACCGCCCTTAGTCTTCATTTCTCCATCTGTTTAAAGGAACAGTAATATGAAGCAGTTGAAAAGATATCCGAATGCTTTGCAAATATTTCGGAAGCTGCCAGAAACCAGTAATTCTGTATTTGGCTCAAATCTGTGGAACCGACAAGGCAGCAATGCTATCCATTAATAGGGAGAGAAGGACCCTGATCAGCAAGTGCAGTCCATCCCATGTACCAAATGAGGCAGCTATCTCACAGATGCATGTAAGTTGACACGCAGCATGCTTGCATTTAGGAAAAAAAAAACAGTTTACAAAAGGCACATACACAGCTGCCAACCGTCTAGAAAAATACGTGAGTATAAGGCACTGTCATAACACATTTCTGCTACAGAAATCAATAGAACAGGCTAAGTACCAACAAACAGCAAATGTAATTTATTCATTTAAGCACATACTACAAGAAAAAGTATTTAAAATGGTGACGCATGCATCCCCAAGGAAAGTTTAGCCTTTACATTTAAAGTAATGATCATATACATAGTACTTATTTCCAAACACTTCTCTTTTTTTAATTGTTGTGAGAGTTACCAAAGAGCCAATGTATCCAACAGATTTCTAATCAGGTCTAAGTAAGGACACAGAAGATGACTGCATACTAGCTCCCTGATGGAATTCTGATTTAGCTACTCTTGTCTATAAACAGATACCAGCCTTTTTAGGTACAGGATCCTATTTTACAACTTCGCATACAACAAGTAAGAAATTCAAGCTTTTATTCAGTTTATGCTTACTTAAACTACACTTACCTCTCTTTTAAGTTCATTCATGCACTGGCATGTTTTTAGAATGGCTACTTCCAAGTCTTCCATAAGATCCTTTGTCTTCTGGTTTTGCTACAAGCCAAAGAAAGCAATCGGCAAAACATTACACAAAAAACCCAGCAAATCCCACCTTGACATCATGTGTCACTACTTCAAGCTGCTTTAGAATAAAGCCTTTTCTTTCTAGACACAGTGTTTTCATTTGCACATCCTGTGTATATTCTACTTGAAAAATTCTTTTATAGGAAGATTTGTCACCAAATCAAATCTAAAAATAATAGTCATGCAAGCTAATTGACTGTTTCTGTTCAACGGGAATTTACTTCTAAACCACGCTGAGCTTTTTTTAGGAAAAGGGTTTCCTCAAGCTTTACAGCTTCCAAAAATCTTCTGTCTAAACATCCGAAAGTGGAGCAACAGTTTAAGGCATTTTTAAAATTTTTTTAAATATAAACACCCTTTTAAAATAAAGTGGTACCTAAAATGTTACACCGAACATTCTATATTGAATTACAAAAAGGTTACTTAAAGCACCCTTGTAAGGCTTTAGATCATTGTCTAATTTAAATAGATACTGTAGCTAACAACATTTTATCAAGGTAGCTTCAAGACAGAGCTCCCACTTCTGCAAATAGCACCTATCTGTGGAACAATCCAAATGTCAAGAGACATACACTGGGAAAAGAGTTAAGTAGCAGTGATTTTGCATTCTCCTCTGAAATACATTGGAAACAATTATCCTAGGTGGGACTGTTAACATGGCCATAGCTGCAAAAAAATTAGCCCCTCAGAATCTAAATTAAGATAAACATACACACACAAAATCTGTGTAGGTATAGACACGCACACCCTCCATTTTACTGAAAGGAAAAAAACCCCACCCAAGCCCATATGATCATTTTCTCAGGTATCCTTATCTAAGTCTCAAAGCTACCTGTCCCTCAAATTTAATGCTTTCCTTTAAGTAATTTGTGTAAAAGTGTAACATCACAAAATCACTTTTAACACAAGGAGCATGATGTTTTACACTCACTAGAGTGTCCTTTTTATTTCTTTTACTTATTTAATGTGCACATTTTTGCTCCCTCGTGCAACTTTTTTTTTTTTTTTTAACCACAAGTGAAGCAATTGTCTAGCCAAAATAAGGTTGCAGGAAAACCTCAAACAGGACACTAGCTTGTGATCTTACGAGCTCAAACATACACAGGAAGGATTTCAGAAACATTTAAAATTCAATCAACAGTATTAAATTAATTGTTGTGCTCCAGCAAGTTTTCATTAACATATAATAATACAAAAAAAAGAGCAGATCGGTGATGTCAGCCTAATTTAGGCTTGACCTAGGCTATAAGACACTTCAATTTTAAAGTACACTCTTCACTGAAGACTCACAGTTACTCTGCTTGCTAAAAAAAAGTCTGGTGAGTAGAAAGGGAAATAATTGGGCACTTTAACAGCTCTACATATCCCTCAGTTCATGTATCCCCAAGGTACGATAATATTTTTTTTTAAAATCAACAATCCCACTTGAATTACATTAAGTCCCTCAGAAAATATTCACCCTCCGAGAAGCTGCTGAGCTGAAACTAAAAAGCCACCTCAGTGAGCTGATGTTATTTCATCTGCTTACTGCGTCTTCAGTCACAGCTAGGCTGGGTTATTTATTAATGAAAATACTTAATGCAAAAGCACATGTGCATGCCCAAGTATTTTCACGGATCATATATATGCGTAGTCTTGCACATTTCTATCACGTGAAATTCAGCATGTAAATTATTTAGAGGTGATCATTTTCCACCAGTAACAGAGCTTAGAAATACCCGAGTGTACTGGTTTTGGCTGGGACAGAATTAGTTTTCTTCATAGTGTCTGGTATGGTGCTGATTTGTGATAAAAACAGTGTTGATAACACAGGGATGTGTTAGCTATTGCTGTGCAGTGCTTACACAGCTGCCTACCAGGGCTAACCACCAACACCAAGCTCAACACAGTTTTAGTTTCTTATGGTTATGGGATTCTATGCAATTAATATTCTATATGCATCTTCTTTGTAATAACAACAGTCTGTACTATCAATAAGATTTATATGCTCTTCAAACTGCACTACTGCATTAAGAACACCTGACTGCAGCACCTGATTCAAAGAGGAAAAAAAAAGAACAAAAATGCTTTCTCATAAGTAATACATTGTTAAGTATCCTATACTAGTACGCATCTGCCATATTTCAGAGTGTTGGTAAGATTTTGTGCTGTACTTTTCCCCAGGAACAAGACTGAAAGCAAGTCAGCATCAGAAACAGAAATTGCATTTTCCATCTCTGCTTTTCCTCCCGCTTTTGCATGTATCTATTATCATCTTCAAGGAACAAGACAAGACAAATGACAGAGGGAGGCTTAACGTGTTTCTTCTCTAAGAAAGAAAACTACCATCATTTAAATCTTGTAAAAAGGACAAACAAAAATTGCCTGTAAGTCTCAGTGTCTCTTTCCTCTCTCTCCTCTTTGCACAAGATTACAAAACCAGTCAACTTTTTAGAATACTTCCCTTCTCCATAGTTTAAGTGTTTTCAATATTCTGTTGAAAACAAGAAACAGAAACTGTGGTCACTGCCATGGGATCAAGACAATTGAAGTCTCTGAACTACTCAACCAAAAGACCTAACTGTTTAAGACTGTGCAATGATACATCCATCCACCTTCTTGTTTCCACCTGCAGCTTCATTAAAATTAGTCTACCACCACTAGTAGCCTAATTCAGCCATCAAAGAATCAGTGAAGCAATACCACTGGAGGAAGGGGAGGACAGAACATACTGAAGCTGCAGAACAAACTCTGGCTTCCTCGATCAGCTCTCACTGTGAGGAATAGAATTCTCTCTTCCTAGACCAGAAGAAACACTGCATTAAAAATTTCTTTCCAAAGTAGAGGTGAAAAGATTTACTTTGCTAAAAAGCTCTTACAGCTTGCATCCACACTGAAACCAGCTGCTCTAGTTCCATTTTAGCCTGTTTAGACAGCTCCAAAATGTGTTCTCTGTGCTCATGACTGGTATAGGCAGAGTCTGTGAAGTCCTCCGTGTGTTCCAGGATAACTTCCAGCATTGTCGAGAGGTTCTCTTTTGAGAGAAAATAAAGATTCTCACGAAGACCCTCCACCTTATTCTGAAAAAGAAGCATATCAGTTCCTTGAGAATTAATGTGGTTATACAGTTGTGATGCAAATGCAGAAAGCAGGTGCACCATTTTACATTTTATTTTTCTCCTCAGTGCTTTTTTTTATTATTCACTTCCTTTCAAAGTAATATAACAATTTGCTTCTACCCAGACCTCCAGTTTAGGGTTTGGGATTTTTTTTTAATGTATTAATACCATCAGCAAATTACTGGCCACTTATCAGAAGTAATAGCAGATACATTACTGTTCTACTGCTGTCAATAAAAAGTTTTTAAGTTCAGTAAGTTTCAGATTTTGTTTGATCTTTCCACATCCATATCATCTATTTTGAGTATTTTTCTAAAAATTTACATGTAGCAAATTGAATACTTTGAGGCACTTCAAAAAATTCAACCAAATTCTAAAGGGGAGGGGAGATAAATAAATAAATAAATAAAATAAAATAAAATCGAAGTGATAGACTTCAAAGCAATAAGACATGGTTGTTCATTAACTGTTCTTAACAGAGTATGAAATTTAGACAATCCTTTATCAGGAAACATTGACTGAGCCACAGGATACAATTTCAATTTATAACGTTTCCTTTGAATGACAGTTTTCTCTTTAAATGTTTGGATGAGTATTTTTGTGTGCAGTTTTAAAAATACTGCCAATTACAAAGCAATAATTCTTCAACAACTATTTAAATTAACTTCTGATTGGTATCCTGATACTTAAGCTTATTCAATGTCAAGGCATCACCTCAACAAAACATTAGAGTTTTGAATGCGTTCTGATTCAGGAGATGGCAAGTATCAGAAGGTGTATTTTGGCAACGATAATGAAGTTATAATCACCTCTTGTCAGATTCTCTGACATTTTGGGACAGTTAAATTTAAGTTAACACTGCTGAAAAGATGTAGTTCCACCATTTGGAATCTAAAAATATTTTTTTTTCCAGAATTCTTTTTTTGACGTAATTTATTAGGCTGTAGAAAACAATTCTATTTCTACTCTTACCTTGAATTCTTTGATGCCAGAATATATGCTGATGGGGGCCACTTCATTTTCTCCGTTTGATCTAGAGTCAGTTACAATTTCTATTACCTGTTCCAAAGCTAATCTCATCCGATGAAAAACTCCATCTTTGTTTATACGAGCAGATTCACAGTCTGGATGCCTCAGACAAGTCTTTTTAAAGAAAGCAAAGTAAGCATTATGAAAGAGTACACACGCAGTATAGCAAAATGAATGCTTCCTGTGTTAGGTTATGATAAATTCTTTCAGTTACACTGCTATTGTGTTAAGAAGAATTCATACCATTACTCAGAATACTAAGATTTTCCTCTACTCACTCTTTACTCTTACACCCTTCTTTAGCATGAAGTTTAAAATGGGGCTGAGAAAGAAGAGTCAGCTATCTTGCCAGATGCCATACTCTGTGATTTATCCAAGTTGTGTATGAGTGTGCATACTCACTCACCTTTGAAGCAGTTAGGAGCATCATGGTGCACTTCTCAAGAACAGCCCTAGATGCTGCCATTCTAGCCTTTTTTTTCTCATCCTTCAAATCCTGAACACCAAAAGAAAAAAATTACCTGGATATTACACAGTGTCTAAAATGTTAACTGTTTGTTAAGACTAGAAAAAGGAAACTCTTGAAGATGGATGGGTTGTGAGAAAGCTTCTTTATGTCTGACAACTGCTATTTTCAGCCTAACTCATGATCTAGAACTTGCTTTTCAAACAGATTTTAATTTATGCATTTATTCTTGGCTCTATTCAATTCAGATTTCAAAGAAGGAAGATCTCAGAGATACAGAGCGTATTATGTGAATTGTCACTAATTTTGCTAACTTTATCATATAGCATTATTCATAAAACAGAAAAATGAAGGGAAAAAGAACAGCTGACTAAAAAGTATTTTCTGAAATGGGGAGAAGGTAAGGCAGAGACAGAGAACACCAGCTTTTCATTGTACTGCAGTGAAGGAAATGTAAAATAAATCTTTTGTCTACCTGAGTGTTACATTTACTACATACCAGTAATAAAGTTTTAACAGGCTAAAAAAGCAATTCCTCTGTAGAAAGGCATTGAGTACAGAAACTTTTCAAGAACTGCAAAACTGAACTACACCCCCAGAAAAGTTCATCAAAGGGAAGAATTTAGAGTCCAAATTGGGATGGGGTGGGAGGGAAGGGAAGAGGGCAAGACATGAATCCCTCAACACGTAAGAGGGTCTAACAAGAGGAAGAACTTACGAAGCTACAACTAAGATCTTCTCAAGGCTTGCAAAGAGTGCTATTTGAGTGTTGAATAGGCAACTGAATGGGACCAGCTGAAAAGGGAACAGTTTAAAGGATGGAATTAATCCTAATTTATCCTAGACTAGCAAAAAACCCTGGATAAATTACAGCAGCAGCCTGTTTTGACATTTTTATAAAAATCTTATTTAGCAGCTACAGAAAATCCTTAAGGTCAAAATCACCACATTTAAAAAAGAACCAGCTCATTTCTGAAATTCTGACATTACATTCTGATAAATCTGACCACACTCAAGAGTTTCTGGCATAGTACTGTAATTATACCATGGAAAAATACTTTGAGGGATGTTTCCTCCCAATAAAGCTAACAATGCCACATAGCAGCCTACACACTGTAAAGTGAGCATATCAAGAAAAGTAGTAATGAAACACTCT